ATTTTGAAGATAAAGTTTTTGGGGAAAAAAGCTACAGTCGCATTTGAAAGATTTTTACTGAACAAAAATTCAGTTTGATACTTTCAAAATAAGAAAATACTGTAAATCAAAAAGGTTTACTGTTATTTAGTTTGGTTCAAAACCTACAAAATCTTCATTGCTTTCACTGTAATTTATTTTTGTATTATTTAGGGAGCATTATAAATAGTTATTTTTTTAAAAGAAAAAAAACTACTATTGTTATAAATAACACATTCAATTGAACTAAACTATGCATGCCTATTTAAATATATTTACACATGGCTTGTGTTTATCGTGTATATACATATATATTATTCATACCTTCGGTGTATAGGATGCAAGCAGATTTTGACATCAAATTTTGGGGTAAAAAAGTGCGTCTTATACACTGAAAAATACGGTAATTACAGAGATGTAGTAAATCAAGTGATCAAGAAATGTTGGAGATTGTAAACAAGAGAAAAGCAACTTGGAAAGTTTTAATGTAGCTATAATGTCAGTCAAACATATGGTAATGAGATAAATTATATATTTTATACATGCCAGTTCAGGTTATTATTATATCACTATAGTTAATATTAGTAGTGCTGTAATGCTTGTAAGTACAGTATGTTTCTCATATAGAAAAGACAAAACAAAAGCTCTGAGGCAACAGGGAGTTCCTCTAAGAGATGTTAACTTTTAGACCTTCCATCAGTTGAAATCAAACAATTGCAATAAAAAAAACTGCTCCCTTAAGAGCAGTATCAAAACTGTAATTTGTAATTAAGCATTTTTAAAGTATACAGTTTACACTTATATAATGCCTGACATCTATGGAGAAATATGTAAAAATATCTTTGAAAATGCCAACATCTTTCATTTTTAAGGAAGCACAGTTGCATATAGAAGAAAACAAGAAGGAGCCTTTTTCTGAACTTAATCAAATAATTGAAGCACTCAAGGACAGGAATTTGAAGCCTTCATTAGAGTAAGCTCTTTTTACCACATTTAATCTTCTGAATGAAAAAACTGATAATATTTAATTTGAAGTTAACTGAACTATACATTATTTCATTTCATATTTACTAACAAATGCTAATTGAAGTTGTAAAATGTTAATCTTTTTACAAAATATTATTAACGTAATATTATAAATACTGGACTACAGGGGACCATTTGGTCTCTCAAGGCTGTCTGTCCTTACCCATCCCTGAGAAAATGTAAAAATTGAAATCCATCCTTTATTTTTCAGGAACTTGTTTGCTCACCTTTTATACTCATGTAAGGTGCCAGTCCCCACTACTGCTGATGGTAACTCATTCCATAAACTAATCACCCTTTTAGAAAAGTAAAACTGTTAATTTAACTCCAATTTGCCTTTTCTGATTCTAAAACTTGTGTATTCTCATTCTGTTGTCTTGAGAATACAGCACAAAGAAATCAAAGGCTTTTTTTTTCTATCCATCAACCCCTTGGTGTGGATTCCTGTCCATGGTGAGGGGGACCTCTCAGGGAAGGTTCTGTATTTTCAGTTACCTCTTCTGGGATCAAAACATCTACCCACGTGTTTGCCGTGTGTGATGACCCGGGAAAAGGATGAGAGGATCCTGGTGGTTGACTGGTGTCTGGGGCACTGCAACACACCACTTTGGCCTTGAATTCCTGTAGACGGGTGGCCCTTCCAGCTTCAGTCGGCTGGTCCCATCAGGCTAGGGTCAACTGAGTACCAGTGTTGAGCATTCTCAACAGGTGTTGTGAACATCACGTCTGATTCTGGTGTTTGGGTATAGTGCTCACGAAACCCTGGCATTGCTGCAGTGTCCTTGTTTGACATTGTTGTGCTTCCCCTCTTAGGACTCTATGGTGGGTGGGGGTCAGTGGGCACTGAATCTTACTCTTTATATTATGGATCCCCCCAAACCCTAATAAAAATAAAATAGTAAAAACTCTGCTCATTAGTAAATGACCATGCCATGAAGACTCTAAAAAGCAGTCTCCACCTCCATTGTGCACCGTTACCTCATTTTCTTATCATGCATTCTTTGTTGGAAAAACCTTTAGGGCAAATGTCTCCCTTTTTTATTCAGAAGAGATTAGAGGAGCTTGCTGGCTCTCCAAAGTCAGTTAAGAAGCTACATTCTGGGGACATCTTGGTGGAAACATCATCACCAAAACACAGTGAACTCCTCTTGAATTCAAAGGCCATTGGAGATATACCCATTGAGGTTACTCCCCATGTTACTTTGAATTACTCACGAGGAGTTATTGTCGAGAGGGATTTGAAGAACATCCCCAAGTCGGAGATTCTCTCTGGTTTCTCAAGTCAAGGAGTTTCTGCAGTGCATCGTAAAGACGGACTTCTGCTGCCTACCAATGTTCTCATTTTGATGTTTTCATCGCTGTGTCCACCTGCTGCTGTCAAGGCAGGTTATTTGAACTGTAAGGTACGGCCATATATTCCCACCCCTTTCTGATGTTTCTTGTGCCAGTGGTTCGGTCATTTGAAGGCATCTTGTTGTGATTCTGTGATGTGTGCTCATTGTGGTGGCAAGGACCATGATGCCTACAAGTGCAAACTGGACCCTCACTGTGTTAATTATAGTGGTTCCCACCCTTCTTACTATAAATCTTGCTCTAAGTGGGTGGAGGAGAAAGAGGTACAGCATTTGAAGACTGTTAACAATATTTCTTACCCTGAGGCTTGAAAGCTATTGTTCTTTACTACATCTCAGACATATGCCACTGCACTACACTCCACTCCTACAGTGGGAGTGCAGACATACCTTTCCGTGCCTTCGTTTGAGTCTTTTTCATGTCATGTGAGAGGTTTTCTGCCCTCAATGGATAAAAGAGTTAACCAGTCGTCTACTGCAGTCTTTGGGTCCAACTCCTATGGCACTGGCCTCCAGTGTCTGCTCAGATCCTTTTTCTTTGGCCCCGAGATGCAGGATGATCATTTGCTCACGTCCTCAGTCACTGGATTCTAAATCTACTGGCACAGATCTGCCCACTCAACCTAGGGCAGGATCCATGGAGGTCAATAGACTTCCTTCTAGTAAAGAAAAATGGTGCGGTTGTTAACCAATGGGTTCTCCTCCACCTAAATAAAAATAGCCATTTTGATACAGTGGAACTATTGAGGTTTTTGTTCTGATCTCAATGATATTAAGGCCATGATTGCTTCCTATCATCCCATATGTCTCTTTTTACAGGAAACATTTCTGAAACCTGCCAATACAGTCACCTTTGGGCAGTTTTCTTTGTACCGGATGAGTGCACGGAGGGGTGGCATTGCTGGTCGACCAGCACGTGCCCTCCTTATCTGTGTCACTCAATACACCCTTGGAGGCCGTAGCCATCTGTGTTTCCTTGGCTTGTACCATCGGTGTTTCTTCTCTCTACCTGTCTCCTAGAGAGACTTATGATCAATCAGACCTTGATTCTCTCATTGAACAGTTGCCATCTCCCTTGTTAGTCCTGGGAGACTTTAATGGACACAACCTTCTCTGGGGTGGTACTGATATTGATGGGAGGGGTCATTTCGTAGAGTGTATGCTCTCGAATCACAACCTTTCTCTCTTCAATACTGGCCCTTATACTTATTTTCATGCACCTAGTCCGTCTTTCACTGCCATTTATCTCTCAATCTGCTCCCCTTCATTTTTCCCCCACTTTTCTTGGAAGGTTGACAGGGCAGTGATAATTTTCCTATCGTTTTGAGGGAGGTTGGCCATGGTCGATGCCACCCGACCCAAGTGTCACGGTGGAAGTTGGACCAGGTTGACCGCTCTCTCCAAACTTGATCCTACCATTGCCTGTCTGCCATCAATAGATGAGTTTGTGTTAGCAGTGACTGACTGCATCGTCCAGGCAGCTGCTCATTTTATTCTTAAGACCTCAACACGTTTTCCACGGTATCCCCATCCTTGGGGGAGTCCTGGGATACCTTCCAATGGTATCCCTCTCTTTCTGACCGCATAGTTTATCAACAGGCCCGTGCCCACGCTCATCAGGTTTGACATCAAAGCCAAAAGGAGTCTTTGATTAAGTTTACTACTAGCATGTCTTCTACCGCCAGTTCCAAAACCATATTGATTTGTTTGTTTGAAGTTAAGCACAAAGCTGCACACTGGGCTATCTGTGCTGTGCCCACCACCGGTATCAAAACCCAGTTTTTAGCATAGTAAATCTGCAGACATACCAATGTGCTGCTGGGGGAGCCCGTGTGTAGATAAGGAATAAGGAGATTTTTGTTCCAAATTTCAAAAAACAAGTTTTGAAGAGATGAGACAAGAATTATCTGCTGAGAATTTGGCAATGTAATTAATGAGAAATACTGATCAAATGTGGAAAAATTTCCTAAATATTCACACTAAAACACTAACTGAAGCTCAACGCAGACTTCTTAGTAAAAGTCTTAATTTTTCTCCTACTCCTAAAAACATAGATAGTTTTGAAGTCATTTCCAACCTCCAAGAATTTGCATGCAGATTAAGACTTCGAGAATTTTTTCACAATCAAGCCACTGAAAGAAATAATTTCAACTCACAGTTTAAAGAAAAATCCTTCCGGTCACCCCCAGCTAACAGGGAATCACATCTAGTGAGTTTTATTACTGCAATTGAAAATGAAGTAATTCAAGCCATTAACTCTAACTCAAAAGTACAAAACAATCTCTCCTATAGTGAACATACGGCTGTAATTTCACTGAAACACGAAATTGAAATTATTAGTAAACCAGCTGATAAGAGCGGCGCCATTGTCACTCAAGATAAGTCTGACTACATCATAATGGTTTGTATCATTAAGTTGTCAGTAAGCTTCGTCAAACAAATTGCAGTGTGGGGTCCAAATCTACCTTTTTTGATTTTGAACTGCTTTTGGTTGTCTTTATCAAAAAATTTGTCCGTTTCCTGCATGAACTTACAGGTTTGACATTGTTTGCTATTGCAAGGTGGACTTCCACCCGGTGTTGGCTTAAAGTGTACTTTAGCATGAACTAAGTGTGATTGCAATTTTTTATTCTTTCCGAAAGAAATGACAGGAACTTCAGTAAAAATAGATTTTAATCGATCATTAAGTTGAGAGAAGTAAAAGTGTTTCCTTAGTATCTGGGGTATATTTTTTAGTTTTGGGTGATAGGTAATAACCAGTAGAACACGAGAAGAATTTGTTTTAGGTAATTGTTTCAAGTCAGATTCACGTGGTATATTGTGAGCTTTCTTAACTTGTTGGATGATAGTGTTTTGTTTATAACCTCTTTCAGTCATAGTCTGTTTCAAAGAATTAATGTGATGGTCATAGTTCTTACTATTATAGCATATCTTCTTGAATCTAAGTGCTTTATTGAATGTGATATTGTGTTTGGTGTGTGGAGGGTGACAGCTTTGATTATGTAAGTGTTGTGGTTTATCCTTTGGTTGTTCGGTACAGTCAGTATGTACAACACCATCTTTTAATGTTAGGTTTACATCCAAGAAACTTATTTGGGTAGTGGAGTAGTCTAGAGTAAATTTAATAGAACTGTGGAACATGTTAGCATGTCTATAAAAGGACAGTAATGAATCTTCGTCTCCACCCAAATGAAAACAATTTCATTAATGTAGCATCTCCAAAACATTGGTTTGTCTGCGCAGTTTTCCAAACTGCCGTCTCTAAGTCTCCCATAAAAATGTTGGCATAGTTTGGTGTCATCTTGGTGTCCATAGCTGTGTCTTTTGTTTGAATATAGAATTCATTATTAAATTCAAAACTGTTAAGTGTAAGTACTAGTTCAGCTAAGTCTGTAATAATTTGAGTGTTGGGTTCGTCTAGTTTTATCGGAGAAGATTCTAGGACTTTTAGGACTTCATCGTGGGAAATGTTTGTGTATAGAGAAGAAACATCCATAGTACAGAGAATAGTGTTTGGAGGAAGTTTTCCGTTGCTGTTAATGTCAGAGATCATGTTTAGAGTATTGTGTCTTTAACGCATGATGTCAAACGTGGG